AAGCTCCGCTGCTTTCGAGCCATGTGTCACGCTCGTTCATCGACCTCGTTTCGCTTCAATGGCTTTCAGCCTCACCCTGCTTCATTCTACTACATTATTAAATCATTAGTTCATCCATGAACATGATTTCTGCCCGAGTCCCGTCGGATTGCATCGGCTGTGGGGATGAAGACGACAACTCCCATGATTCCACACTCAGTCACGGCATGTCTCTTTGTTTATTTTGAATACGCGCCCTCTAGCAGCGAAAATTACATATTGTGCCTTTAAGCAGATGTAATTTTTTGTTCAGATCAAAATGTTATGACATTGTATGTTACAATTGTAAACTTAAATTGTGAACCTTTAAAGCAGGGTCTAAAAATAGACGTTTTTTTTTTATAAAATAAAGGTTATACATATTATACATTTAACTAAAGAATCCTGAAAGCACTTTAATTTCCCCCCTTTACATACTGCACAAAAAGTGGTTCAATAATATTGAATGTTACAGGGACTAATTATTGCAAATGCAGATCCCACTGTGTTCTGGTTAAATAATTTTTATTTATTTAGGCCTATTGATTTTTTGCTAAGGTTCGCATATGGTGGTGTGTTTTTAATGACAGCTTTCCTAAAAATATATCCTATTCCTAAAATAAGGAATATCCCAATATATCGCCTTGCTTACAGTATCGCAACATATCATATTGCAACCCCTATATCGTGATACGTATTGTATTGCCAGATTCTTGCCAATACACAGCCCTAAATAATACGCAGCAAATTTTGAGTTTATTGAGGCAAAAGTCATAGTTAATGGTTGGTTAATAGTGAGAATACGGTATAGTAGAGTACAGAATAGTGTATATACAGTATAATTTGTTCAGTAAATTGCTGTACAATCAAAGTCTTTTTGAAGTAAGATTATTGATGCTCATGAACTTTTAAGCCTTGGTGAACATAAGACACTTCTTTCAAAAACATAAAAAGAATCTTACTGACCCCAAACATTTGAAACATAGTGTAACTTGCATAGATGTGTGGATTCACTTAAAGGGATCGTTCACCCAAAAATGAAAATTCTGCCATCATCAACCTCAATTTGTTCCAAACCTATAGTAGTTTCTTTCTTCTGTTGAACATAAAATAAGGTATTTTGAAGAATGTGGGTAACCTAACATTTGCTGGTCCCCATTGACTTTCATAGTGCGGAAAAACTGTTTGGTTACCAACATTCTCCAAATATCTTTTCTCATGTTCAGCAAAGGAAAGAAATTCACACAGATATGAAACAATTTGAGGGTGAGTAAATGATGGCAGAAATGTCCTTTTCTGGTGAAGAATCCCATAAATATTATAAATACTATAAAAAATACTATTGGAAATAGTATGATGTTTGTATAATCACTCTTAGACTCCCATTGTAATTGTTTTCCATTCTTTTTACAAACTGGGTGATGAATCAAAACTATTTCCTTTAGTATTAGACTTTAAATTATATTTACCCCAGAACATTTCTTGAACTGCAGACATAGAATTAGTGATTCATTTTCCTCCTATTCAATAGGAAAAATTTCTCTGTGTAAGTCATATGATCTGGTTCTCACACAGAAAAATAACCAATCATAAACCGAAAACAATAAAACAGCAGTAACTTTATCAAAGCAACATCCTCCTATAAATTAAATGCTCAAATACTTGTGAAACGAATCTGTTGCTTTGAGGTCAAGGCATCATCTTCTTGGCTGTGAGAATGACATCCTGAAATTACATGTTCAGGCACGCAACCCTTGACCCTGAGGGACATCTGCCACTCCTCATTAATGCAAACCCACAGCTGCGGAGTGACTGGCACACACACACGCACACATGTTCACAGACAGACAGACTGGCAGTCTCTGTAGAGGTGTGTGCGGGCCCCTCCTCTGCCGTCTTATCCTCCCAATGGGGATCAGCAGCGCTATTTCCAGCATTGCAGCGCTTTAACAGCTCCCGGAGACTATACCCAAAATAGCACACACAGGCTCACTACTGACACAGTATTCACACACAGAGCGAGAGAAGGAGAGGGAGGGAAAATGTGCAGAAGACAGGGTGAGACATGGACAGGAATATCAAGTGATCACCATAGAGAAGTGGGGAGCAGAGCTGTTGACTGCACATGCTCACTCTAGCGGTCTAAGTGAGCCTGCTTAAAGTGAACAAATGAAACTAATAGAGCAGAGCAAGGCTCATTGGCTTACAACAGAGCTGTAGAGCACTGCATCTTCTCTTGCCAGAGTTCAGGTATTGGCAGGTCACCCCAGCAGAAGTACTCCTGCCAGATATCCACAGAGAAAGTAACATCAGACCTTATGCAACAGCCTAAATCCTGATTTCTAGGAATGGAGTTGACTGACTAGAAATACGGGAGATCCATTAGATTATGGATTCCTTGTAAGTGGACTTCAAGTCACTGGCCTGCTTAACCTGAGCCCTTGTGCTGTCCACTTCTATGTTTAAGAAATTTGTGGCTAGTAATAGTCTTACTCATTCTAGATTTGGCGATCTAGGAAAGACGGGGATTAATATACGTTAATATCCATGCAGGACAACTGGACAATGACACTTTGAGTATTTATAATGGTACTGAATGGTTTCAATATTCATATGGCACTCACATGGTCAAGTAAAGTGGGATCCAAATGTCTGATGCCATACTGATTTAATAAAACTTTTCTGATATTTTCCATGAAAAAGTACTTATCATAACAATTTGAATTGAACAATCAACAAAACCTTCAGAACATATTTGGCTTGTGTGTAGTTTTGTATTATATGCATAAAAATCCATGTATGTCACTGTTACATGTATGCTGCATAACAAAATTGATGTGCACATTTAACATTGAGTAAAAAGTTGAATATAATAAATAGGTCACACTTGTCCAATTCTCTCCATTAACAAACCATTAACTACGACTTTTGCCTCAATAAACTCCTAATTTGCTGCTTATTAATAGTTAGCAAGGTAGTTGTCAAGTTTAGGTATTGGGTAGGATTAGGGATGTAAAATATGGTCATGCAGAATATGTGCTTTATAAGTACTAATAAACAGACAATATGTTAGGCATGCTAATAAGCAACTAGTTAATAGTGAGAATTGGTCCATATACTAAAGTGTTATCAATAAATAATATTTAATAATAAAATTTGACCCCTGAGGGGCATAATAATTTGAGTGAAAAGTTAAACTGAACAACCAACAAGAATTGAAGCACTTGAGCTGCATGAATGTTCTCCGGCATGATTTCAGAATGATCCAATGAGCATCTTGAGTTTGAAAACAAGAACATCTGACCGTCTGTACAGAGTCACATTACCAATTTCACTAATTTGATTATTTGATTAGTGATCTAGAAAGAGTGCAGAATCTAAAGTATTTATTATTCATTTTATGTCAGTATTTTTTTATATTTATTCAATTTCAAAAATGCCAAACTTTTCTATTGATGAAACATTGTCTTAAATAGATTTGAATCACAGATTTTCAATCTCTTTTTTAAACTTTATACTCCAACTCTACTGGTACAAGTGAACAATCATGTGACAGATGCTGGTGTGAACGAGTTCTGGTAATTTTGGTCTTTTTTAATTTTTCATTCACTCTGTGCTTATGAAGTAAATCTTGTGATGTTTCCTAGTCTCGCACACAAAATGCATACAAATCTGAATAGTGATTTAAAAAATGCAGTGTTTAGTACTTACTGTCCGCACTGCCATTTTGTGACCGAGAAAATCTTGTCTGTTTGTTCAGACAGTATCATCAATATCCAGAATTGGCTTTTTTTATGCACTGATTTAAAACTAAAAAGCTAAACGAAAGGAAGAAAGAAGGAAAGCTCATATAGTCAGTCATCTCAGTGATGACAGTGCACTCTCATTTATAACCTTGTTTCAGGTAACTAATGCGGCATCAGCGATTAGTGACTAATGCGGAGCTATTTAGTGACTAATGCGGAGCTACATGTGGAGTGAATTGCTCAGGTGAGATTAAAGAAAACCCAGAATGACCTCAGCTTCTGAGAGCTTATGGATGCAGTGACATTTATTGTCAAGACCCCTCATACAACGTTTTTACAGCCAGACGCAAACACCTGATATTATGCTTGCCATGGCAATGACATTCAAACGGCTGAAGACACCGTTATCTATCAACAGGTCCTCAATGTTTCACATATTGAAGTGCTGCACATTATTCAAGAGCGCAGAAACGGACTGTTTTTCTTCTTTGATAGCACGTAAACAAAGGCACATTGAGCCATTGAGCTCTCGTTGAGGCTTCCAGAAGGAAATGAGTTGTCTGCTCTTTGTGACTGGCAACATGCCACCACATAAACCTTATATTCTCTTATACAACCTGAGGTTCAATCCATATGGAGCGCAAAGAATGAAAATCAGCTTTTAGAGAGACAGCCAAAAACTCTTCAACTAAATAAAGAAGGTCAAAACTTCATGTACAACCACAACAGACCTAAACAAAAACGTGTGATGGCAAACTCAATCTACTTCCTGCCTGTATCATTTCAAGAAGGACTCACCAAGCAAATTCAGTCCTGTTTTTCTGCCAAATGATGTCGGTAAAACAGGTATGAACACAGAAGACCACAGAAGTCTGGACAAAGAGTGACTGGCCCATTTTATTAAATTATTGTGGTTGTGCAGAGGGGGCGTGATACAGCTTTGGACTAACTTTGGTTTCATTCATCAGGTAATGAAGTTCTGGGTTCCTCTCTACTCAACCCCACAAGCCATCTGCTTTATCAGAGCCAGCTTTGTTCATCAATCCTTTGGTCACATTTTTGACTTGGATGAAGACTAAATGTAATTAAACTATTTCCTCAATAACAAACAGGCTAAAGTGGAATTTGGGTCTACTATATTAATCCATCATTCTTGACCTAAGAAATGAGCTTTCAGGTGTTTTCACAAATAGATTAAGACGTTCTAACAGCCACTGTGTAGTAAATCGATCTTACCTTTGCATGTGAAGCATTTTATATGGAAGTGCTTGGATTGCACCCGGAGAACCTCTCCTTTGCATGGCTCCCCACACTTATAGCACTGGATAACCAGTTTTCCTGGTGGATGGTGTGGTTCTTGAGGATGGGCCACTGTCAAAGAACACAGAGACATGGATTAGCAAAGACTTCCATTTTGGAAGTAGACTACACTGTTACACAGATAAGGAAGATACAATTATATCATTAATTAGATTCAAACCCACAACAATATATTTAACAGCTGACATTAACAAGTGTATAAACAATTGGTCTGTAGCTAACTTAAAGATAATAAATCTACTACAACATATACTGTATAGCTGTACTACATAATTAGAATAACTAGTAATTTTATCATGACATTGAAATTGCAGGCCAGTTATGGTTTCTGACCACATTCAATAAATGTGTAAAAGCTAATGTTGACAAAATTCTGTCTCACACAGATCATGGTAACTCTTTACAATGATGTCCCATTTGGTTATGTTAGATAATCCATTAACTAACATTAGCAATCAGCAATACATTTGTGGCAGTGCTATTTGATCTTAATTAATAAAAAGACATCTGTTCATTTTTAGCTCAGGTCCATTAAATAATGTTAAAAGATACCACTTTTGATTTGAACTAATGCATTAGTAAATATTGAAATGAACACTAAATGCTTTAATAATTAAATAAATAAATAAAATTAATGTTAAATTAATTTCTCAGAATATCTTTTTGTGTGTGTGTGTTTCACAGAAGGACAAAACTGAGGGTGAGAAAATGAAGACAGGATTTTCTTTTTAACAATTTGAGAATCACTAAGAGTAGACCTATTATAATTTAACCATTAGTTAAAATGCAAGTTTTTAAATGGTTTGTAATGTCCAACTACTTTTTGGCAAGGCAAATGGCACGGTTATATAAAACTGAAACTTAATTGTTTTTATAATTGGCTGCACTGTTCCTGCATTTAAGCACTGTTGCTATTTCCATAGCAATAAATATGCATGTAGATGCAAAACTAATAAACACAAGCCTGAACCTCAACTAGCCTTCATTACATAATGCTTGTAAATGGCTAGAAAGTGTTTCAATGGGCCAATGTCCGCACTTTGGGTGCTATCACACAGTGTGTGGGTGTAAGAGGAGTGTTAGTAGGTAAGGTTGTTTTTTGGAGTGATCAGCAGGACAAGCTGACTGCCACGCAGTGGTTATCACAGCCACACGGAGAGGTACTCACACTCGCTGACACAAGTCATATTGTTTACATATCTGTACTGCTCTTCACAAGTGTCATTTAGAGTCGGTACAGTTGCATAACGAAGGTCATGAGTCATTTGTGCTTTGCCGTTTACTAACTTCTGGCATGTTAGCCTGTGGACACAACAGCATAAAGAATAATTCACCCAAAATAATTGGGCGCACTATTTCTTAAAAACATAAACACCACTGTAAACAGACATTAAATCTCAAGAACACTCTTCAGTTGTTTATAATCTTGATAATTACATGCCCTGAAGGAGAGCAGACGCTCCACAGACAGAAATAATGGATGAGCTGTGTGCTGAGGCTCACAATACTTCAATCATTTTCTCTCGGTATCAGTGTTTGCGTGCTGCGTTTCACTTAAGGCTTTACTATGCCAGATTTGTTCAAGATCAGGCCAAGACAGTGTCCACTCAAAGCTGCTGTTCTAAACCTGGCGGCACTCAAAAGCTAAAGTTAATTCGAACGAAAAGAGCTCTGAACCTTTCAGAGTGGCTTCTCATTAGCGTGACTAGGAATCTTTCCTCTTACTCTCACTATCCTTCCTCCTTTTGACATTTACTGCTACTCTTGAAATCACAGGAACCTGTACTCTCCGTCTCTCTCACTCCAGAATGACACTTCTTCACTTTATATCTCCTGTTCTACTGGAGATTTAATGCATGCCTCTCTAATCTAATAGTTGGCCACTTGAAAGGCTTGTGCAAGATTAACATAAAGAATCTCCCTCCCACCATCACTCGCTGCTCCTTATCAGGCCATGTGCTTAATATTGCCACCCAAAAGAGTCTCCACTATGTAATCTGCTATGGGGGCCTGTTCAAATACTGCATGTCTCCTAATCATATATTGCATGGCATTTCTTTTCCTGTCACTTATGCCTCATGACTTTAATTAAACTCCTATTAAATTAATTGAAAACCTGTTTTCAATAGCTAATACTAAATTTTTTACATTTATACATATACTTTTTTTAAATGATTATATTAATGATTTTTTTAAGAATAAGTACACATTTTTTTTTAAATGTCAAACGATTTAAGCCTTGTGAACCTTAAGGCTCCCAGCTCATTTTAAATTCGACATAACAGAAAAATTACTCAGTTCAGTGAGGGCATCAGTTATGATCTATTCACTGAGTAAGTCTGATTCAAACCATTAAATTATGAGGAAACTTGCATTAACAAGAATTAACTGATATTAGTCAACTGATCATGAATTGGACATCAAGGCTTGTGCAATGTTCATGTGTGCACAAGAAACACCGCCACGCAATCTAAAGCCATGGTCACGCTAGAATTTGAGTGCGTAAAATTTCTACAGACAATATGAAGTCACACACTGTGATGTCTTTTTAAAAAAAAAACATAGTTCCACATAAAATGCATCCAGAATGTAAACATATGCAATCTACTCCCCATTACTGCAATGCTGTAATCCTGCAGCCCTAAAGTTTGTGTACTTTTAATTCAGATAAAGTTCATGCTGTGACGTATCAGTCTTCTGTTGGTCATGCATCATCATGTGACACAAATGTAAAGGTTCATTAGACTTGAACTCTGAATGCAGCATAATTCACATGAGCTTGCGTTTTCTGTCTCCCACATTTGCATGCATATGAATGAGAGTCGATGGAACTAAAAGTGTAGTTTGACTGGCCCATAAATCACTAGCATACTTGCGTTAAAAACAATCAGAGTCACTTGATCAAGGCTAGCACGGTTGGTCATTGCGCAATAAATTATAGAAGCCCGTTTCTACCACGGAATTAAAAAAAAAGGTAACTGCAACTTTTTACCTCACGATTCAAACTTTTTCCCCTCACAAATCAGAATTTTTTTCTTGCAATTTCAAGTTTATATCTCTGAATTCTCACTACTTTTTTCAGAATTCTGAGTTTACATCTCGCAATTCTAATTTTTTGCAGAATTTTGAGTTTACATCTTGCAATACATTTTTTCCCCGCAGAATTCAGAATTTAAATCTCACAATTCTATTTTTCCTTCGAAAATAAGCTTTCATGAAAACACACCACCACACTCGAACAATGCAAATTATGAAAGTACATTTGAATTTTTAATGCACATAAAAACTGCCCTCATTTTAATCGCAGTATGGAAGCTCTTATATGCAGTATAAAGTAAAGAAATAGACAGCGTCAATTATTTTTTCTCTGCTGAAGTTGTCATGGATGACAGGAACTTTCCCTTTGTCTGGACGAGGTGGTGAGCGAGCCACTAATCAGTAATGATAAGATTCTGGCAGGGTTTTGTGCTCAAGAATGCTCCTACCAGTCCTTGAAACTGAAGCACAGGATTTTGTCTCAAACTAGCCCCCTCAGCCCGAGACAGCTGTTGCTATAGCAACCAGCTCTACCAGGACGGCAACAGCATGATACCGGGAGCTCGTACGGTGGAACCCCAGAGTGAAGCTGCAATGTCGACAGACAACGGCAAGCTCCGAATGAACTGTTTCGTGTTTTTCAATCACACAGATGGGCTAAACTAGGAGAGTTTCCTGACATATGCTGTAACTAATACAACAGCTCACACTGTAGCTATATTAGGCAGACACACAAAAGGCAGATTTGGACACTGCTACATTATGTATCTCTGCATTCAGCCAAAGGCAGAGTATGCTACCTCTACTCTGTCACGCTCAACGCAGATGTGAGGGAATGTGGGCAGGTGGTGAAGAACAGCACAGCTAAACACTGAGGCTTCCGGAAACACAAACACTATGAGCCTCATTCATGAAACATGTGCAAGACATATTTATATGAAAATAATGGTTTTATGAACAATACACAGAAATGTGATTGCCTAGTTTTTCATGGATAAGATCTGCAGTTTAATTTAAGAACATGGTAAATGGTATGAACAAAATCTTATATCACCCTCATGGCATGCTACATGAAAAGGAAAAATAATATTAATTTTGAGATTTGTTAAAGATTACATTTAACCATTATTATTAAATTAATAGTGTTTTTTAAAGATTGACCACAAAAGTAATCTGAATGTAAAAATAGGCAATTAGCATGCACAAATAAATTTCCAATAAAAAATAAAATAATTAAAAGTGTGATATTGTAATGTGGTGTTTTGTTTCATGTTCATGTTTTCCATGTCTTTTATTTTGTAATTGTTTCATGGTCCCTGTTTGTGTCATGCTTCCCTTGCCCTCATGTATTCATGCCATTGGTTCCCCTGTTCATTGTGTCATGTTCTGATTGGTTGTCTTAGTCATGTGTCTTGTTTCCCATTGGTTTGTTCTTGTCATGTGACCCTCTTGTTTCCTATAAGTAGCTTCATGTTCCCATTGTGCCCTCGTCGTGTATTGAATGTATTTAACCCGCTGTTGGTGAGTCTAGTCTGTTTATGTCAAGTCTGCTCATGCTATGTCTGTTCAAGTCAAGTCTGTGTTTCTTGTTTGGATATCACTTGTAAATAAACTGCACTTGGGTTCTCACTACGCTCGCCTTCAGTGGATGATTCGTTACAGAATACACAACCACTAAAATGAACCCAGCAGATCGCCTAGTTTGCCTCCGTCAAGGTAATCGCTCCTTAGAGGATTATGTTCAGGACTTTTGTGGACTCTATCACCAAGTGGATTTTAATGAAACGTTCCTAAAAGACATTTTCCGCTATGGTTTAAGTAAGGACATGCCACAGTTAATGCCACGCAATACCCCACACTGGTCATTGGAACAATACATTGACTTTGCCCTCCGTTTGGCTGGCTCTCCATTTACTGTGGGGATAGTTGATGAGGAATCCTGCTATCCTCCAGTATCCGCCACACCAAAATGTTTTCACATTACATCTGGGATTATTCAAGTCACGTCAGTCTAC